CTCTGCGGCACAGCTCGGGATTTGTTTAAACCTTGGGAAACTGGTTCAGGTCCAGGTTTTGCTTTGATCCTTTTCAAAACTGGAGACACAGAAGAGGGCTCTAGGAAAAAGTTTTGGATGGGATTATGTGGAAACTACCCTGCGATTCTCGGCTGCCAGAGCAGGCTCGGCGCTTCCACCCCCGTGCAGCCTTCCCCTGGCGGTGGTGAGAGAGACTCCGGAGTCGCCGCTTCCCAAGTGCCCGCCGCGAGTGAGCTCTCGCCCCGGTCAGCCAAATGCTCCTCTTCGGGCTTCTCCTGCTGACGTCTGCCCTGGCCGGCCAGAGACCGGGGGCTCAGGCTGAGTCCAACCTGAGTAGCAAATTCCAGTTCTCCAGCAACAAGGAACAGAACGGTGAGTCTGTGCCCCTTCCCCCCTCCTGGGTTCTCGCTCTGTGTGCTAACGTTGGCGTTGTGCGTCGGCGTGTGGTGTACACCAGCCTGCGGAGGTGTCCCCGTCCCTCTTTCCATGCCAACGCGCGCTCCGTTCACAGGCACGGGCTGTTGGAGGTTGCGTGTAGTTTGCAAGTTCGGGAGCTGCCACAAAGCTGGAGTAGGGCGGGCGTGATGCCCCTGCAGCCTCCACAGAGTGAGGACCTTCTGGGAGCGATTGTGAACGTCAGTTCAAACGCCCATCGCGGGATCACGCCTTGCCAGAGTCGGAAGTTCAAGAACTGCCTCTAAAACCGGGTCTAAAATGAATGAGTCTTGGCATGTTTGACTTCCCTCAGATGTGCGGGGCGGGCGGGGGAATTGTTCAAGAAATGCATCAGCTGCATTAATTGAAGCACTCTAGGTGGAAGGCATCAATTAATCAATAAGTAGATAGGAAATATAGAGGTCAAGAGGCCGTGTGGACGCTTTTAGAGGAATTAAAGCCTGTATTTCTTTTGTCGCTCTATCTTTTTTTTTTAGCTTGCCTTTGTACTGCGAAGTCTTTACCTTTCTGATAGTGTGTTTTTGTATGGGTTGGTGAATGACTGCTATTTTGTGTGCGCTGGAAACGACTTAATCCTGCATAGGAAATGAGAATTACTTTCAGCTTTCAAGTGTACCTGAAATGTTTAGAAAACTCTCAGATGCAAGTTCCCTTGGGCTGGGATTGCACAGAGCTGGAGAAAGGCTCCTTTCATAAAGCCAGGGCAGCTTCAGGGTGTGTAATTTGCTTAGCCTCTGAACCCATATGATTTACATCATTCAGTTTCTAAACTCTTTTTCTCTTGATCTACCATTATGAAGTCATTTTTGAGAATACTTTGTAAATAGAAATTTTATACTGCACATGAAACCACATGCTAATGTAGGCTGTTTAAAATTGGAATATTTAACACCCTGTTTACAAGTGGTGGCTCTTACTGTTATTTGAAAAGAAATGTACATGTTTTTACTGCTTTGCATGTCATCTGTTCAGGATGCAAGGATGCTATCACTTCATTAACTAGGCAAAATGAACACAAGTGGCATACCTAGAAAATCAGAATGGGGTGTGCTAGATTTTTAAGTGACTTTTCCTTTACTTATTGGGGGTGTTTTGTAGTTTCAACTTTGAATTTAAACTCTGTGAAGTGTTAATCTTTAAGAAATCACAGAAAGTTCTAGAGTGTAAAAATAGAGTATGCAATAAGGACTCCTGGGACTTTTGTAGACATTCTTTGCATTTGTTGCTTGTGCAGCAAGACATTTAGTATCACATTAATCAGCCAATATTAGTGGCAATGCTTCTTGCAGCTTGCTAATGTGATGGCACATGGCACCTGCAGGCTCCTTGAGCTGTTGATCAAAGGGCAGCCTAGGAATCTATCTCTAATCACAGGAGCTGCAGAGGACTGGGGGAAAGTGATCAAAGGAGCCACAGCACCAGCTGTACCCAGGCAGGAAACAGATCAGACCAACCTTTGTTCTTTCTCATGTAAAATAAATGTCCAGTTCAAAATATTACTTCTTACTAGACAGGCCTCTCCATAATGACGACAATGCACCATATTCCTGGCCTCTGTCTCCTGATTTTTTTATTTCTCCTGTGCCCTATCATTTCTCCTTCTGCCTTGTCTTATCAAACCTGTCTTCCGTATCTCCCTGATTTGCTTTGCTACCTGTGCCACTCTTTGTTCTTCCCTGTAGTTCTCTCTTGAGGGCCACATGCTGTTTTCACTTTGCAGGGGGCCCAGGAGCTTCATGCAGCATGTGGTAGTTGGCCACTTTTACTAAAGTAGGTTCACACCCTCAGGAGAGATGAGTTCATTAAGCCAGGCCACACACATTCTGTCGCCATCTGAGGTTGGGTCATTTCCATTCCTAAGATGCACGATGCTAAAAATAGCCTGGTTGTTTCCTAATTTGTGGGCAGAGGATGGGGCTATGTTTGAGGATTGGTCTATGTTAGAGTTGGCAGCAGGAAGTAACTTGAAGTGGAGGAACTCCTCACCTTGTAGTTTTTAGCCTAAGGAGAAGTGGAATGACCAGCACTAGGGGGCAATATAGAGCTATTTTCTCGCACATGCTCAGGTTGATTTTTACACAACAAAGTTCTAAGGTTTGAGAACAGGTGTGGGTGCTGAAGAAGATCCCCTTGGAATGTGACCAGATTTGCTGGAACTACTAGTCTTATCACCAGCACTATGACTTCTACCTCTTCTTCTTCTTATTGGCTTTCAAATTTTCCATTTCTTTATGTGGGTACTTTTGCTCTCGTATTTTGATTTTTGTCTACTTTATTGCTGTCTCAATTTTGACAGTGTTCTGTTCTGTAAGTAAAAACCTTCCCTGATGGTGCCATGTAGAAAATGCCACTGGCCCAGTTCATGCATTACACCATTTTGTGAAAGGTCTTCTAAGTGCTAAATATGATCTATTATGACTATAGGAGCTCATTCCTATCTTCAGAGACCCCTCCCCATGATGCTTTCTTTTCTTGAGTATTTCAAAGTCTCCAATGGTGTTTACTCAACCAACTCTCCAGGTCTACTCCATATTTTTTTTTTTTTTTGAGTCTGCGTCTCACTCCATCATCCAGGCTGGAGTGCAGTGGCATGCTCATCGACCCGCTGGGCTCAGGTGATCCTTCCATCTCAGCCTTCTAAGTAGCTGGAACTACAAACACGCGCCACCACACCCGGATAATTTTTGATTTATTGTAGAGATGAGTTCTTGCCATGTCGCCCAGGCTGTTCTAGAACCCCCAGGCTCAGACAATCCTCTCGCCCAGACCTCTCAAAGTGTTGGGATTACAGGCTTGAGCCACCGCGCCTGGCCCTACTCAGTTTTAATATTAATTTGCTGCCCCAATAAGTTGTAGAAATGGAAATGGATTGCAATAGCCAATGCTAGAAAAATAGATTTAGAATGAAACATGTAGACATGATTCAAAATTGTTTTTTTTTTTGGGGGGGGGTGTTAGTGTAATTTACACTATTATTAGGTACTTAGTTTTTTGACCTACTATTGAATTTCAATTCTTGCCACTATACTCTAAAAAGAGCTTTATCCTCCAGTATTATAAGTTACCTTCATGCCCTATACTTTATTCTTAATCTTACTTCTAACCCTGAAGTCTCACATATAAAACAAAGGTATCCATATTTAATTTAAGGATAGAGATAAAAGATAACACTGGCTTTCTTGGAGGATGTCTGACCTGTATACTTTCTCTGAGATCGTGAGGGGAAGTACTCATATCTGTGCACACTGATTTTAGATAGGAATGTCTCCCATGAAGGTTGTGGAATGGTGCTTCTGAGTTGCAGCAGAAGGACTAATATACATTTAGAAACAAAATAAAACAAAATGTACTTTGTCTATTGTATAGAGCCCAAATAGGTGCGATCACAAAGGTATTGGTGAAGTTATACCTCTTCTACCTTGTGTTGTTGGTGAGTGATTTTAGTTCATTCATAGACCTGAAACATGCTTTTCATTTTTCTCATTTTCTTTAACCATTCTGAATTTAGATTTGGAATATGCCGCCATTAGTTAAGGTTAGTTTTATGAACATCAGGTATTGTATGTTCTCCTTTCCTCGAGGGCTTTTGTGGCATGGGGGGAGGGGAACCATTTACTTTGGTTTGCTAGTGATGCCTTTTTGTCAGTGACTTGTGTTTCTAGATTTTCTGTCTCTTTTTGGCGGTGCCAGCTTTCTCTTTCTACTACTGCTAACATGCCTGTGTCTAACCAAATTAAAATTTAAAATGTGCTTAGTCCTCCTATTCTTTTTAGGGGCAGATTCAAAGTTCTATTCTAATAAAAAATACATGGCCACAATATTTAACATAGGATTCAACAATACCTAGGTTGTAACTGAGGACTAAAGGGACTTTCCTGTAAGTCTGTCTATAAGTTTTAGTGCATGACCTTTGTGACATTTATTTTTGTTGTTTAAAGACTTTTTTCCTTCAGAAAAGGAGAAAAAAAACAAACAAACTTCCTCCTGTATCTTTGCTCTGTTTGAGATAGTTGAGGAAGTTGAACAAGTAAAGTGCTATTATATAATGATGAATTTTCTTTTTCACAATAGGTGATAAAAAGTCTCATTCTATTATATGGTAACTTTTTTTTTTCCATGCAAACTATTATCACTGACATTGGACAGATGGTATACTTTGCATTTACCTCTAAAAAGTATTTAGAAAGTACAGAGGCCTGTATGAAGGTTCAGGGTTAGTATATCATTTGTTAAATAGTTGTGGATAGATGTTAGGATACAACCCTAACCTTTTTCCAGTGGTGCCATCTTGTAGGCTCAGTCTCAGATACTGAAATTTTAGCCTTGTCTGTTCTTATTTCATCCCTCTGAAAGTTTTAAAAAATATATCTTCTTATATTCGTGTACGTGTCATGTTTTTTCAACCCTAGATGTTAAAAGTCTAAGTTTTATCTATAAACTTTCATTCCTTTTATAGAAACAGAATTCTAATGATAGCATACTATGTCACATAAATAATAATGAATCAAGGCATTCATAATGTCCACATTAACAAAAATATTTACGAGACTGCTAAAATTTTCCCCACTGGTTTCTATTGACATCAACCAAAATGTTAGAAGTCATAATCAAAGTCCCTAAATTTACTTACTCGAATCTTAATATAGTCAAATATTTATTTGGAAGTATTATAGCCGGAATATTTCTATATAACTCATTTTTATGGAATCTCTATCATATTGTGGCCTTTTAAGAAAGACCAAGTGTAAATAATCTCTTTGTTATATTATGGTTTATCACCACAGCTCTGACTTCACATTTTTCCTTCTTTTTGCCAAAGGACTCATCTAATGGTTAACTTTCAGTTGGTGTGCACCAGTGCTAGCTACCATCCTACATGTTAAGATACTGAAATATTTCCAATGAGTTGGGAAATA